GGAAGAGACTGCCCGCCAGTCGGTATGATGTGAAAAGTCCCTGGTACCTTTGCTTTCAATAGTTTTGGGGAAGTTTGTCGTTGTCTGTTTTTCACACGTCTTTGATAACGCTCACAGGAAGATCTTATTTCAATACACCCACGATGGAAGATCAGCCTCTGCTTACGTCAACGACTTGGCCGGAAACGCCGGTAGCCGGCTCCTTCATGTACACTGTGAATACTGTGGGACATTGTGGTGACACCAGCGAACCTTTTGCCGAAGCCAATCATCCGCAGCAATCAATCTTTCAAGGACATTTAACAAATTATCTCGTAGTTCCTCTCGAATGACGGCAATACTATCGCGGTGGAAGCCCCAGAGCGCATCTGCGAGACAAGAAAAATTGGCTGTTTTTTTGTGCACCTTCCGTCACCGCCGTCAATTCTCTCTGTGAGATCTACATAATATGTGGCAGTTCTTTGAGTAAGCAGGATACCAACCATCATTGATCGTCGTGACAGTAAATATAAGAATACATCCTTACAAGGAAGCAGCTGCAATCTGAAATGATTGTGCACTGGCTGCTTGAGTCTTTTTTCAAGGAGCTAATCTGTAAGCTCGGTAACCTCACTCGTTGGGTAGCTATATATAGTAACACTACAACTGTATCCTGGTCTCGCCGATGTTTGACGCTTCGAAGCGACTTATTAAGGATGCAGCAAAAAAAGGCGAGAGCACTGAAGATTTATATACACAGATCCATCAGATGATCAACCATACAGGGAAACTGCGCAGCGTTTGGTGGGTTCTTTAAGTATAATTTCCGTGACGAAGTATGCATGCGAGAAAATGATCGTACGGAGCAATAGCCGTCGGTCCCCTCAAATCACACTCAGGGATGGGGAATACCGTTCTTCATGTAGCCCAAAGGTGCATGGTTTGTCCATCCATTGTCCAGGTTTTGTATTCGCTGTCAAACTCTAAAAATGCGTGGTCAAGTGCGTCAAATTTTTTTTGCTTAGCGTCAGTGATAACTGATGTTTGCCCTTGAGCCGTGTCTGCACTGGACCTTTTTTTTGTCAGTACAACACACAGATTGGCCAGATTGTTGACACTTGTGGACAAATTACTCACCCGGGGGAAAATTTCTTTCGGAAAAGGGGGACCAGGATTAGTTACACCGACATTGCCAACTTTCTGGTGTTAAACTAGTACAATGCTGTGCTTTAGTAACAGCATTCAGTGTAGGCCTAGACCTGGGCTTATAGGGTCAGGTAGTAATTTGTGCTTACCTGAAAGTTGTCGACAGTCAACACAATGAGGTGATTATTCAGCAGATACTAACAAATGTGACTGACGTAGACCTGGTCTTAAGCTTCTAACCGAGCAACAAAGAACAAAGCATAAAGCATCTTTTCACAAGTAAAGCTAAAGGTTTTACTGGAAATACGACTACTAGGCTCAGTCTCCCTACTTCATTTGACAATGCACAATACGAACCATAACCAATATGCGCCCCCGCGCTTAATGCGAAACGGTAATATTGGGTGGATCTGTTGTATATCTTATTGTATGCTTCTTCCACTTCATTTCCAAAGCGCAGGTATGTGTTCCAATGTTATCTTCCCAGGAAAGTAAAGCAGGATATATTTCAAAAGGGGTCGATATTGACTGTGATACCGCGACTAGACTTGTATCGAACCGACGAGGGCCAGCAGTTACCATGAGCAAGCCGGGGATGTGCGTCATTAGCATTACATAATGGCCACCATGCGGCTTGACAAAGAATGAGGTTAAAAGTTACCCTGGGGACGAGAGTGCAGTGCTCGCCCCTCACGTGACTTGAGCTATCAAAATACTTAACCAAAAACGCGTGCCCATTTAATGTAATGATAGTAAATTCAAAAGAAGAACGGGTGTCTTCGTTGGAGATGTCTACATTAATTAAGTAGTTTATCTAATTTTTTTTATGAAACTAATTTTTTGTATTTTTCGTATGCGCTTTAAAGACCTCGCGTCCACAAACAAATAATGTTTAATTTACGCATTGCCCACTAAAAATTCGAATTTTTTTTTCTACTGGAGCTGAAAAAAACATCTATTCAATCGTTTAAATACAAATCGTTCTCTCGTTTTGGGGGTCAGATGGAAATTGAAACTATCGATTGTGTGAATTCAACATCGTCCTGAATTCCACAATGCCTGAATCGTGCTCCTTTTGTTATTTCCGGCTGAGTTTTCTTCTCAGTTGAATTCATGCGCCAGTTGGGTTCGCTAGGTCTAGACAAATCGCTGCTTTTGCCGACGACGGAGATCTGATCAAACTCGTTAGGGCAGTGAACGTGCTATCGTAATTGCGCATCGAGGTGTTTGGACAGTTTTCCAGACAAACACCTCGGGCACAGTCTGCTTGCAGTGCGTGGCCAAAGCATCGCCTCGTTAGGAGTTGCGCTTTTAGTCAGACCACTCCTTTCGTGGTCAGCCACCATAATCGGTATTTGCCCAACTCCGATTGCGAGTTAATTGAGGTAGCGACAACTGATATTTGCTCGGCATCGTATTGCGTTACATCTCGGGGCGATCGAACTGTCAGAATTTATGGTTTTTGTTCTCACTGTAGGATGAACGTAAACTGTGATGGATGTGTTTGTGCCCAAATTCAGAACTTTTCTTCTAAAGATTAGAGGTCGGAAACTAATGTGCGTGCTCCTTGCTTTCGGTCTGGTTCTCCTATGTATATTCCTTCATACGCAAGAGCACCATTTCTTTATTATAAGCGAGTTATGATTTGATAAGTTTACAACCATTTGTATTCAGTTGGTGTCCATTCTGCCTTGAGAAGTTTTCCTCTTATAAACAAAATGCTTTCGATGTAGTTTTTCGTGGTTTTGTTAATTTGACTTTCTCACAGGGAACGTCATGCCTTTTGAACGTTAATTAGATCGGCATATCTCCGAATTTCCGCAAATTAGAAATATTCAACTCATAATGACACCACAGCGATATGCCTGTACATTACCGACACAACGTTGACTTGTCATTCTTTATTAGAATTCTTTGTTTGCTGCGCAACCACGCTATCTAAACTTTTCCCCCCATGAAATTAAATCCAGTAAACTAAGCGGCAACGGAATATGACACATTAAGACAAATTGAAACGGGGAAAAAGTGTAGTTGATTTTTACTATTCCTACCAGCCAGCAAGGGCAGGTCTTAGGCCTATTCGTCACAGTGACTTCCTTTTATTTTCTAACGGATCAATAGCAATAAATATTTTCACTGTGATCATTTCATTGAGACACGTATTTTCGTCTCTGGTAACTGTTAAAATTGTCATACAGATTCGCCCGGCACCTAGTCTCACTTTGCGTCTTTATTAAACAAGACAAAAATAGTTCAGGTCACCAGTGTGTATTGCAAACTGTGATATAGTTTTTCGCATTAAAGGCAATTTGACACTTTAAACGTCGATTAGCCGACCTAATTTGTTGCAAACTACTTTCCGATAAACCGAACACCTCTATTTTGTGGTATTATTGGTGGGGTAATTACCCTAATGGCTCAATATGGCAAAGTACAGCTGCTGTCAAGTTTCAAATTTGAGGCTTGGTTTAGTAGGCCCGTCAGTAGATGATAAATTGCACCTTTCCAAACCCACATTACTTTGTGTTAAAACTGCACTCCAAAAATGAGATATCTGACATTTATGTTGGTTTTTCTCGTTCCATTCTTTCAAATTTCTTTTCCTTAGAGGTGTACATTTTGAAATCGACGCTGTTGTAATTGCCATATCTTTTGGGTTTAACAGAAAGGGTTTGGATAGAAGAAAAATTATCAATTGGGACTCAAAATCTTTTTATGATTTGCACCCTCAATTGTCCCCTTGACGACGATTACAAAGAAAAAAGTCTATCTTTTGAGTCACAGATTGAGGTGTTCTTTTCAGTTGTGGTAATTCCACGGCTCTATTCAATTAGAATATTGCTCAATTCGCAGCTTGCATTGCAGAGTACAGTTGGTTTGTACTCATTAAAACCAGAACTCAATTCACCTCAGCGATTAAATATTCGACGCTGGTTGTTCTTCACCATTTCCAATGGTACAGCAGCTGTTTGTGAGCTTCGGCCGGATTATGAATCTGCCGTACGACAGAAATAGAAGATATAGTTTGGATGATGTTGATGGCAGGAAGTCCTTTGATGGGTTGGTTTAAGTTGGATAAATCATCCAATATCGCTCGTGGTGAGCTACATGAAAGAAGTCTGTTGAAATATAAAAAGTGCTGCGTACAGCACACGGGCAGATTCCTTGTTGACCATCATTTGCAGTGTTTTGGATAGGCCTTTGATGTCACACAACTCGACTGCTATCTAGACGCACTCGTTATGCGAGATTAATTGTAGGCTCTGATGAAACGATGAGAAAGTTGGCAGGCAACTCAGTCGGATAGAACAATTAGTTTTGTAACGATTTCCGACGGACTGGAAGCAGTCTATATGTGTTCTGATGTTGGTTTGCGTACAATATCCGGTGGGTATTTTCGAGGAACTAGACGCCCCAATGACTGCTAGATATCGACCTGCTTCTCTGGCCGTTTTGCCGTTTTATTGACCTTAAATCACCTTAATAATTGGTTATTGCAGTATTTCCCTTTTCCGGATGAGTTTGTTATATGTTCTAGAGAAAATATCCGTTCTTTATACGTAATTTTTGTCACAAATTTTGAGGTTTTTGGCAGTTTTCCACAGGCAGTGTTCTAGTTTGTGTACTGGTTGTTTATAATCCTACGTCAAATGTCAAACTACTCTAATGCTGTCCAGTGTGAAATTTCAACCAGTTTCCGGCCCAAAAATTGCAGAAACCGTTTTTTATTAAAACACGTCAGCGAGTACCTTTTTTACTGCGGTACACGTACATTTTATTGAATGTGTTCATTGTTTTAATGTTAGTATTGATATTACTTTATTTCAAAGATTTTTCAGCAAGGTCACTCTTTTTCGTACCAATTTGTTTTGCAGATCGAACTTAACTTCTGAGTCTAGATGGGATAACAGTCCTCGTTCATAAGTGACCGAGGACCTGACCTGATTAATTATGAGAATAGGCAACGACTTTACTGCTACTGTGTTTCTATTCGTTGCTGTGCGCCGTGACGATTCGGCTTTCAAATCAGTTTGATTGGCCAAGTTTTCCGAGTACGCACGGAGGCAAAGTTGCTTTTGTTCGTCCGTGTCACATTTATATCAAAGCTTGCCAAGTGTCAGACTTTTCATCAAGGAGAAAGCCGGTGCACTGGCCGCGCGCTGACTGGGTTTGATTAGACCGATGCTTTATGTCGGACATCAGTGAGAGGTCCCCAAGTTTGAGGACCGTTTAAGGACAAAGACTCGAAACAAATTGAAAACATCAGCTGAAATGAATGAATCCAACCAATCATACGAGAATGGAAGTGAGGAATACTACCACCGGTGCATGGATCTGTACAGTGGTCCTATGTACAGTGAACCAACTTGGCTGCAAGTTCTCTTCGGCGTCATTTTCGGCCTGATCACGGTCCTGGGCATCGGGGGCAATGCCATCGTGTGCTACATTGTCCTGGGCCACCGCCGGATGCGCACTGTCACCAATTACTTTGTGGTGAACCTAGCCGTGAGCGACCAGCTCATGGCCGTCATGTGCGTCAATTTCACCTTCTACACCACCCTCTACATGACCTGGCCCTTTGGCCTGGTCATGTGCAAAGCCGTGTCCTTCTTCCAAAGCGTGTCGGTGTCCGTCAGCATCTTCACCCTGGTCGCCATCAGCATGGAGCGGTACATGGCCATCATCCATCCGCTTCGACCCAGGCTCGGTAACACGGGAACTCTCCTGGTCATAGCGCTCATTTGGATCAGTTCCTGTGCACTGGGCTTACCCACGGTCATCTACTCTCTAATCTACGTGGAGGATGGTGTAACCTACTGTTCGGAGGAGGATTGGAAGGACCGGGGCAATTACAGCTTTGCCACAATGGTCTTAACCTACTTCCTCCCTCTGGGGGTATTAGCCATGGCGTACACTCGAATTGGAATACGTATCTGGGCTCGAAAGACTCCCGGAGAGGTGGAAGCAAACAGAGACAGGAGAATGACTGAATCCAAGATAAGGGTAAGTGAATCTCACATTTGCTCCTTTAACATTTGGCTATTTATATAATATGGCGCCGTCTCTCCAGAATGGTCAGACGGATTTGAGTACCTTGACTGTCCATATAGACCGGTAAAGTAGGCCAGGTGAAACATATACTCAGGGCCTAGGCAACCATTCATGACAGGATACACTGGATTACCCCCCCCTACATGTGTTTAAGCACCCATCCCATACCAATCGACGTCGGGGAAACCATAAAATCTTCTTCGCTATACAGAATTTGCCTTTGGCCATATTTCTTTTGTACTAGAAGGTACACTGTCCTTCCGCACATAAATCTCAACTTGTTGGCAATAAAAAGAAATGTCGTGATAGTATAAGGGAATTGGCATCGCTTCTAACTGAATAGAAGGTTAACATGGTCCACAATGAAACAAGATTTAGAGCTCATTTTGTGATATTAAAAAGCACTTGTAACTAGGCAAATTTAACGTCCATCGAGCATTGTGGCGAAATATGTTACGGTTTTCCGCTGATGAAAAACCAGGAAAAAATATACGGGTTATTAATCAAAGAATACTTTCCGTGGGACAGTTATGGTCATTTGTAACACAGCCTCGGCTGCTTTCATCCGAGGCTGCCTGGGAAATGTTCAGGAGGAAATGTGTCTCTCCCTCTAGCATAGCAACAGATGGAACATTTATCAAAAATGCTTTTACCAATGTTGTTCCGAAATCATTCGGAAATCATTTGCCTGTAATAGCACTTACCGGCTTCCTTTTTACATTCGAGAGGGCTCATTCACAGTTCCGTATGATCAGGCGAGCTATATATATAACCTGCCTCTATTCAAATTATTAAAGACTTATTTGTCTGATGTTGTTGTTTCATCAACTATATAAAAGGCTAATTCCGTGAAATGAAAAATTAAGTGTTAACTTTCTCAAGTAACATCTTTCTGATGCTGGATGTCCTTTCTGTTCCTATCAAAAATGTTTGCTGTATTTCAAAGATTTTACAGACAGATGTTTCTATTCAGGTTAGTTTGAATTTAAATGCATTCGAAAAGCAAAAGCCAACAACGCATACCTACTTCCATCTGAAATTTTAGTCAAGTACGTCACAACATTGCTCAAATCCCCCTGTGACTAAAAATGGTCAACAACGAGTCTTGAAGTGTGATTACAGCGAATGTCTCTGCCATAACCTGATCTGTCCTCACACTGTGCTTGCTGGTAGGCCTAAGGTCGAGAGTTCCTTCTACGCATCAAAGGTATTCGAGGTAAACAGGAAGAAAAAACTCCGGACGAAGAACACGCTATCCGTTCTTATTAAAACACTGCACGTGAAATTGTTATTCGGTTGGGTGCGTAGACGCCTACCATAGTAATCAATATGTAGTATGCACTCTTCCAGAGGCGGAGATTTGTTACGAAACAAATCTCCCATTTTGTTTAATATTCAGCTCGCTGAGGTCTGAGCTTAGTTGCTTCCGCGGAGTGATAGACCATCTCGTGTACACGGGGCGCCAACCTCAGATCGCTCAAGTGTGTTTGTCTCGTATCTCTAGTGGTCCGGGTTGCACTGTTTGCATCTTTCAATTCGAGTGTTGACGTGTCACTTAGCCACAACACACACCCGTGTTTGTGTTGACGTGGAGATGGGGGACATTGCCTGCGCAGAATTTAAAATTCTTTTTGTTTTCTTTTCAGATTAGATCAACTTTTTAGACATTCGAAGATTATAAAGAATGTCACTCTATGAAAACGAAATAAAACCAAATAACAGCTTGAAATCGGTTACGTAAAAATAAATTATTGCCGTGGATAGTTGCTTTCACGTATGGAAGATTTTACTACTAAATGGGAAGCAACCAATGCAAGTCAGTTAAAAACACTTACGAACAGGAGAAGTGAAAGTGCTGTCTTAGTCAACGAATCTGAATTATCTCGAATTATGCAAAGACGTTTATAACGTCTGTTAAGCAGTAGGGCCTATGCATTTTTAATCTTTTGAAAGCTACAAAAATCCACCTGTAGTGCTTTGATGAATTTATGCTTGGCCGAAAGTAGTCACTTATCAAAACTTGTTCAAAAGGATGTTAAAAGAGCTGGGGCATAAATTATCTTACTGACTGACTCTTTGCTAATTGAGTCATGGACATTCTGAATAGATCATTATATACCTAATTGCAATTAAACTTGTCATTGTTTATTGTGAGGCTGAGATGTGAACGCTTGGAGTCCGCCACCAACCGTGAGAAGACAAGCAAGCTTAAGATCCAACATCTTCAAACAACTGCAAAAACATCAATAGCAACAACAAACAACGACAAAATATGACTTATCTACTAAACCGACAATGCACTAACTATAAAAACATAAAAATATATTAATAAGTTACAAGTAATGTGTACATAGTGTACTAGGAAAACCCTTCAGAGAAAGATAAATTTCTCACAAGTTCAAATAATATAAAACTATATGAAAATGTGTTTCAGCTCCCGAGAAACCAAAGTAAAATCAATTTTTCAACTCGTCAACAAGATTTCTCTCTACCGATCCAGGCTGGAAACGGTTACCTAGTTTTCCAGCCTGTGGCGCGCTGGGCCTCTGCGGCGAGAGGGAGTGAGTGATCGCCGTCGGATGTTTTTAGAAACGCATCAATTTGGGTGTCGGTGCAAATTGGTTGGGAGAGATAGCAAATAGCGCTCGAGTAGCTGTAGTTACGGATTGTCGTGTCGCATCACCCCACCAAGGGACCGCGTGCAAGGTCCCAGCCACTCGGTGAAATCAAAATGTGTGCCCTTTGGCGGCAACTTCCAATGCTTTATTGAAGTGACACCAGATTATAAATTGATACTTGAAAACTGGTTACTTATTCTGCGGACTGTGATCCCGAGCACACGGTGGGCTCTTATCCCTGCCATAAGGTACCTGGCCTAAGTGAGTGATCTTATGCCCAAGTTTAAGGGTTGCCCAACCTACGAAAAGTCTCTGCTGCTGTTCTAGCTATCCAGGCAGTGGAGGGCGCTGTACAAGCGTGCATATGAAAGAAATGGTAAAACCACGATGCACCTGGTGCCCCTTGCATTAGTAAAGAGTAGCACAAGTGTCCGTTATGGCTTCACCTTTGACACCTTTGTGAGGAGTATTGGATTACGTTGTGCGTGGACTGCATAGTTTTGCAGCACGTTTTTTCCCGCGTGCCTATCAAATCCAAAAGTTCTAATAGCATTTCTTGATTTTATTCCTGTCTCACAGTTAGTCAAGATGTTTGCTGTGATAGTGTTCCTCTTTGCAGTCTGCTACCTTCCTATTCACACCTTCAACATCGTGCAAGACATCCACAAGAGCGTCGTGCTGTGCTACCCATACATCCGGGTCATTTACGTAGTCGTCATAGCCGTAGCCATGAGCAACTGCGTCTATAATCCCTTCATCTACTGCTGGATGAACAGCAAGTTCCGGGACGGCTTCAGGAAAGTCCTGCGGTGCTTGCCAGTTCTGAGGCGCTCCCGGAACCAGGCTAGCCATTCCAGTTCCTTTCGGGGCTTGAAAAGAACCAGCACTCTCAATACCCACATGCAATCCTGACTATAGGCCGAAATTATTGTCTTGCACCGGGACAATAATTTCAGATCTCGCCTCGAATGATATTATTCTGTATTTTTCTCTCGGTGTGTGTGGACACTGTCTTGCCGTAGTTTGCAACTACAGCATTCATGGCGTATAATTTCCTCTTCAACGCATATTCTGATTCACTATCTGATTCTATCTAGTGGTTAAATGAAAAACATCCATTCAGATTTTATTTTTCTGAAATTAACGTCCAACTTTTAGATGAGCGTCTCTGGTCCATTTTTTTTCTGTTTAAATGACTCCTTTATTTTGAAAGGAGGCACTGCCGACTCGCTCTAGCATAACTGTAAAATTTAAAAGCACAAATTAAGAGTATTTTTCTGATAATCTTTGATTATTCACACATGTATACAGTTTAGTCAAATAACCAGCAGGCACCATGCTGAAACCCACTTGCTGTGTTGTCTTACTTAAGTATACTCACCTTGGTCGATATGTACGGCTGTACCTGTGCTCCAGTCTGAAATTTTGAGAGAGTTACGTAATGCAGCCTTGGCCATTTATCCATGTTGGCCATATGTTCCTCACAAGAGAAAAAGGTCCAGATGCCAGGGGTCAAGGGTGCCTTCGCGAAACACGACGAGGGTGTCGACCATTTTGATCATATTAGGCTAAGAATAATGAGCACAGGTGAGAGAGTCATGACGCCCGTCAAGCCACACAATAGGGCGTTGTCCAGTTGAGTTCGTTCGGCAGATGCCATGTGTTGGTCGAACTCAGTGAGTGGATAGAAACTGTCCGCTTGCTCATAGGAATCTCTTGGACGTTTCTGGGCTTTACGAACTTCTACTCGTAACCCAACTCAAATGCTCCAAAACATCCTTCCATAGTGCGGCAAACGATCAGGTATTGCTCTTAAAATTGTAAACAAACAAACAAACAAACAAACAAACAGTATTAAAAAATCAAGGGATTGTATAAAATGCCTGTAACAATTCACTGTTCGCGACTTTATTGCGTTCTCAAGATTATTTATGTGTAGCTCCTCCCACAAGTTTTTTTTTATAATGTGGATCAGGTTGAATCAATCTCTGACTGTGCCTGTTTCTCATACGTCAGTCAGATGGGGTGTACTTTGACTTAAGCTGCTATTTTTGAACGTGCTACGAAATATATGGATATGGTTCTTGTACTTTAATCACAGAAGGGAATCAAATGAATCTCTTTGTAGTTGTTCGAGTCGTATTGAGCATTGGGGCTTAGCCAAGAAGCCATCAGTAACTTACCGCAAGCGCGCGTTGCTTGAACTAAAAGCATCGCACGGTGGATTTCAGGTTCTTTTGGAAAACAAACAGGAAACAGTATGCTCAAGACGAGCACGCCGTTTGAACTGTAGAGACCTTCTCTTACAACCAGCTCTATTCTATTTATAGCCACTACCCTTCCACCAAAGTACAATCCTAGTTCATAATTGAGTAATGATTGACATGCTGACAGTCAGCCGATTCAAGCACAAGATAAGTGTTGCTGCATACTCAAGGGGATACTCTGCCTGTAGCGAGCTTGCCTCGGCACTCTCATCTGCATTAATGGATGTTGTATTTTTTGTTCCATATGCACTTAAACCCTTTATTCTTTCATTGTCTCTAAATTTAATTATTAAAACAAAACGGCCTCCACTTAGGCGGAACTCATCCCACAAGCACGCCTGGGGCACAGTTCTTCACATTACGTATGCATACCACCGACAGTGAAGGTATGTTCAGGGTATACTGGTATGCCAATAACTGTATACCAACTGTGTGATATTGAACGTGCCTGAAAACTGTGACACTTCATTTCCTATTGTTGCTCCCATTAAGCTTACACATTTTGTATTAAGAGCTATAGTTTATTTACTTGCCTGTTTGACACGACAACTTGCCGTGTAGCAACGAGAAACTGTCAAGAAGAGTAAAGTACCTGTAGCGTACCTGCTTGAACTAAAATGTCTTTCAATTTAGCGGATTAGGCCTATGTGGGACGATCAAAGGGTGACCTGTCGAATTGTGGTTGCCAAACGCAGTGTAACGCACGCATAACTAGCATATTGGCCTCGGAAGAAGAAACCAATCCCTTGAACATAGGTGGGCTCCCTTTCCTGTACAGTTGCCAAATTAACAGTGTAAATCTTGCCCGTGGTAAAAATATTGCTTAACAAGTTAAGCTTTTCAAAGATGGTCATAGTTACCAAAGGCACGGTACCGTCGTCATGATAGAAGGTGGTAGTTTAACAACGCCAGAACTTCAAACGCTATTTTGGACGCCTTCGCTGCAAAAACTGTGGTGTTATAAATCAACACTGTTGGTGTTATCAGATCACCACACCATAGGATGTTACTTTAACAGTGCTGGTGTTACTTTGCACATCTATAAGTGTTACAATGCCTGGGAGGGTGTTAAAAGTAACACCAAATAACACCAACAACAGTCCTCTGATAACACCAGGGGTGTTGAATTTAACACCCCTCATCAAACGTACGCAACAGCAAGTCGGAAGTATTTCACATGAACCAACCCAGAGAAACTTACTAGTGATACGTGTAGGCTCGTTTTCAACACAGCCCTACAGGTCATATAGATGCATGTGTGGGATAGCTGCTGCGTAACAAGTTAAGCTTTTCAAAGATGGTCATAGTTACAAAGAATGCTGGCTGATCCATATTTGCCTGGGAGATTTCCATACAACAAAGTTAAAAGAAGCACCCCTAAAAGAAGGGGGGATGCAAAGTTGTTACTACGGACAAACGGTTTTATAATAGTACATCGTATCCACTGAAAGATTATTCGCGTGAAAGTATGTTGTAGAGGTAAATTCCATATCATGTTAGCTAAAACGTTAGGTTTCTGTAATAAAAACAGATCCAGATGATAGCTCTATTGTCCTTACAATCTGGTTGGGAAAGAAGCTGGAATTAGATTTGTAAGTGAACACTCAGTTCACCTTCGGATCATTTTCCTTCCGTGTAAAATCTAACATTTATTAAGTGGTACGTGTATGACCTCTCTAATGACTTGTTCTTGCCTTGAGGTAGATTTAGTGCTATCGAAATGTTAGTGCTTTTAACATGTTGAGATACATCTAATATTTCCATTATCTTTCAATCAGAAAAACAATATAAAAGCCCGAGGGCAGAGTACACGTTCTGGTGGTCGCAGGATGGAATGCGAGTCCCGTAATGTTCATCGAATATAGACGAGTTCAACAGGCAGAGGTAGAAATCATGTGCCTGGTACTACGCAAATAAGCAAGTAATGTACATTATACATGCGCACATGAAACAACCTTGTTCAGCCAATGTGGGGATGTGTGGCACCCGCGCGTCGAGGTTAGGAATGCGCGTGACTGTGGTGTGATCGCAGTGTGATTGGTTTCGGTACTGATGAAGTCACACCTTGTAAAGAAGTGCACTTCCTACATATGAGTACCATAAGAAACTGTGACTACATCAGTGCCTGTATGTCTATTGCGTGTCCTCAAATTAGACTATAGAGTTTCGAAGTACCAACTGGTGATGTTTATTTAATGTGTTCTCTCCCAAACGGTCCTCTTCTTACAACTGGATGTAATTATGTAAATATTGTACTATATTATCACTGTAGCAATGTTTGACGCAATCGATAAATACATGTGGCAGTTTGGATGCAGAGTTTCTGTGTTTGGCTGATTATTGAAACAAAAGTGTGTATTTTTAAAGACTTGAATGGAGGACAGAGTAGTGCTGACCATGCACAGCCCTGGTCGGTTACAAATACGTTGCATAATGTAGTTAACAAAATGTTGGTCGTGCACTGCCCGTTGTTGATCGACTTTTCACTCGTCGAATTGACCGGAGCTCTCATTAGCAACGTTTGACGCTGCGGCAGATGACTTCAGTGGGGAGGCAGTCAAACTAATCTACCGATAATGTAGGCCTACCTCGAACCCAGGCACAGAAGCCAGCTTGCCTTGCGTTCCGTTGAACTGTTAGCCAAGTGACGTAACCTGGAATAATAAACAAAACCTGGGACACTTTTTCCCTTCAATATTGACTTCGTCTCCATTATCGGTTTCTTCTTGTGCGTACGTCATTGTTCCAAAGTCTATACCCAATAACCGATTGGACGTTCTCGAGCAGAAAACAAGGGTTTGCATGGCGCCCTCTAATAGGTAATCGGGTATTTACCATGCATAGCACCACGTCTGATATTTCCAGAGGGCGCTACATATCATTCATTTCACAGAACTGTTCAAGAAGTGTGCGATATAAATAGAAGATAGCGATTCTGGTACTACGGGGGTGAAATGCACGAGAGGATACCGTTAGACTTTTCATAATGAATTCTGCAGGAGCTGCATGGCCCCGCTGCACGTGCTGTTACGTTTTTGTGATGAGCAGGTCAAAATTCTGTTTTCAAGTCAGGTTGGGGTGAAGTCCAAAAGCACATACTGATCATTCATTCTGAAGTTGAATGTTGAACAGTCAAGCATCTGAATGTTGCGAGATCGGTGATCTGACAGGCTCTGTGGAAGATGATATAAATCAGACTTGAAGGTCCCGGTGGGTAATGAATTGATAGCGGAAGTTGGGAGGGCTGTCTCGGTGTGTAGCTAGCAGACTGCATTCATGATAGTGTTACCGGTCTGGAAGTAAGCGAAGCTGGACAACATGCAGGCCGGTGTTGAAGTCATGGGGTGGAGTCAGCTGTACTCTAGGTTTTGAGAGAAAACAGAGGCAACATTGGCGAATGAACTGAAATAAGAGTCCTAAAGAGTATGCAGGCTGGGCTTACTTCGGCTTAGTTTGACTGGCGTTTGACAATTTCCCCGTTTATTTCGTGTGTAGCCATTGACCAAAATTCGGTTCCTTAGTTATCCATCTCAGTGTTCGGTACTGCGTCACTTTGATCCGACTCTGTTCAATTTGGTTTGCTCCTAGGACCAGCTCCATTGTACTGTTCATCTCAGTTGTTTGAAAGAGGTCATGGCGAACAGAAAAATTCTCCTCTGCCAGTCTGGTACTTACGCTCTGTACGAGAGGTTCTGCCCTTGGACAATTATAAAGACCTACATTAAGTTTGATACCGTGGATCGCTTAGTAAGGAGGGATGCTGTCGCAAGGATTCGATCCAAAAAACAACAAACGAACAAAACAAAACAATAAACTAAACAACAACAACAACAAGCACTGGATACCTTTCCCACTCAAACCTTCGGTGCCGACACGTAGATACCAGTTTGTACTCATTCAGAGGAAAATCGGTGTGTGTGTGTGTGTAATTGGCACTATCAAACGAACCGATGCCTACACGCACCGTGGATTAAACATGTTTTAACAAGAGTACTATCAAACATCCACCGCTTCCATACTGTTATAAGCCCTAAACGTTCATGAGCATCGCGCAAATTTCGGGAAGGGGGGAAATCAGGGGTCATCAGTGGCCATTTGCACCATGCATTGTGGAAGAACTGATTCAGCTAATGGAACTTACTGGTACCAAGGCACTCAGAGGGAAAGTCGGACTGATTTATTACTGCGGAAGCGGCCGGGGTCAGTGGTCGGAAAAACAGGAGGCTATTAGCGTGTGTGGGAGTCGGGGGGGATCAGCGCTGGTCCCAAAGTGATCGCTTCCGTGACTTCTTACTTAACAAAGTTCCGGGACTTGGTTCCCTATGCACCAGCGGCATTTCCTTTCTGATATTCAGTGACAGAAATAAAAAAAAATATGTAATTTCCAAAGGGTCAGGATAACGCCGCGACAGATCCAATATAAGCATCGATGCTGCCCAGTGTTAACAACTTGTAGCTATCTATTATACGATGTAAAATTATTAAATCTTTTTTTTCACACTTAAACCCAGTTTATCCTACCTTGGCAGATGCGAGGTAATTATTATTTCACCCCAAGCCTTAATTAATACGCATAAACCACAAACATTGTACATTATTTGAGGCCTTCGTTGCTGCTCTTTTTCACACCTTTTTCGCCTCTTTTGAACCAAAACTTATTATTGTGTCCACATATACACCCATGCACCAGCCCTCGCATAGAATAGGATTGCTTTTATGATGTCCTCTCATAACGAGATAGTCACTTACCCCGGCAACTTTGCTCAATTGCTTGTTTCGCTTTAACGTTTTATGAAATGTCTATTGCAACATAACGTCTGGAAACTTCAAGGCAGGCATCTCACGGCGCAAGTCGTTACGTGCTTACCGAACATCTCTTGGGTATATCGCGTATGACGTTTGTACAAGCCGTCGTTTCATTACAGAAAAATTGTTGATGCAACGTTCTAAAAGTTTGTGAAGAATTTTTAACAAGTAGGCTTACGTGTCGGTCTTCTTTAATGCGTGGCTTGACACGTGCGTTCTGCTTCTCGGCGCACTTATAGAACGTGCCTCTTAGCAGCGTCACCCTAAAGGGAAGTGGGATATCTGAAACTTGTTAAGTCATGAACCTAAGCTCCTGCAAATAAGATAAATAAAGCTGGCGGTAGGTTTGTGCAAATAAAGCACCGATCGAGGCAGCACCACAGCCAACAAGATCTAATAATACTGGGTTTTTTCAACCCAAGGATACCAAGGCCTCTTTACCTATTTTAGTGCCTACCGGTTTGGAGAAAATCTAACTTCGCTAAATGGGTCATATCAAAATGTGACCTCTTGAACCTCGCACTGCCGTTAGCACCGGCGCACCGGGACGATTCAGTCCGGCACAGCAACAGCATGGTCCCTCATGTTGTAAAAAAAAGGCAAATACAATTCTGACAGTTCAACTCGGCAGAAAAGAAAAATACTTCAAATATAAATCCATATATGCCTTGGGAATTAGTGTTTATGCTCTCCCTATTGAGCTTCCTCCTTCACCAAATCGTTTAAGGGGGTCCCGGAATGCCGCTGGGGACTCAAGCGGTTGTGAAACCGAACCATATACTCTCAAAATTGTACATGTAGTGATTGGCGGAGTGCAGTTTTAACGTGGGGCTCTTGTATTGTAGCAGGTCGTCATCTGTACGATTTGCGAAAGTCTCTTCACCATTTCGATAACAGCAAGCCGGCTATCCTCTCTCTAGAGTGATTAACTGAGGCAGCGGAAATCGTGCAGATCAAAGGCTGTCAAAGCGTGATGGTCAGAGCAAGTCTATATAGGCCTACCTCTTGCTACCCTCCCCCTCACAAAACGGGGGCCTCTCTTGCCCTGTCAAGCCGGGAGGAAGGACTTTTAATCTGAATAAACCCGAGAGGGAAGACTTGTGTTAGTGCTTACTAAGACAAGCAGCACTTGCACGGATTATCATTCCAGTAATTCGAGGCAGAAACCCGAGTCTTGCAACGTGATGGCATGCCGCGGCAGCCAGATTCTTGCGAGGACACCACGGGATCTGTGCGTCGTCGTCCTTCTTCCCCTGACGGCGCTGCTTCTCCACGCGGTGCCCGGGGCGGCGTCTGGCTCGGTCCCAGGCCGGTATCGCTCGGGGAATCCCGATGAGGCACGTCCTGTCGAGAAAGGAGCTCCAGCAACCAACGTGAGTATTAAGCTAGGCCTACGGTTGCGCCGCTTGCGTTTTGTCAGTTTCCAGTTATCGATTGTATGACGATCATTTCTCTCAAAATCGACATTCATACACACTCCGTATATCGTTCAAGACAGTGTTAGCCAAGTTTGAATATCGTGTTTGCGTTCTACCGACGAAGTTATGCTAAACGTTGTTTCTTTATGGTAAGCATCCACCATCTGCCATGCAGTGCTGGACTCGTACCTACGACTTCCCGCTTAGAGCAAAGGTATAACCACTCAACCACCGATCGAGCTTGTCGCAGAAGGTTGGATGGACAGTGGTGGTCAAGTCACTATTTGGATAGGTGAGGGGTAATGGACAGATCAAAAGAATCTCTGGCATTCAAGGTTTTATCAATTCAAAGTATCAATGTTTGAAAAGGCTAACCTGTAGATGCTGCAGCTCAAATACTTTCTGCTTTTGACTTATATCGTGGCAATCTGTCGTAAAATACTTGCGCTTTAAATTCATTGGCGACGGCCATGCATCAGGCGCGTGTCTGTATTTCAAACCAGATTAAAATCGAAGTTGGGCAGAACATTTTCTTTATTCCTCTATGGGAAACGGTTAATATCACAGGAAGGTAGTCTTATCCCTGAATGGGCTCTTTATCCGTGGCTGGCTTCAGTCAGTGTCACATGACACATCGAACATATGAAAACGTGCCCTTTCTATGCTGCAGCCAAATCCCCTTTGATCCAATTGCTTTCAAACAGAAAAACAAACCGAGTCAAGATATGGCATCCCGGTTGGAGTTACCAGTACATGAACTGGGAAGATTTTGGTGTTTTCTACATGTACGACTGAATGGCAGTGTGAACGCAATTCATCGCCTGAAATTGTTGTATGAAATGATGCTTTCAGTATTAATGTTACTCTTGTTGGAAGTTTAGTCGTTTAAGCACTGCCCTTGTTTTTCCTTAGATAGAAAGGTTTGATAATGACATCCCACGAATATCTAGATTAGATCTGATTAATTACAAAGGAACATCGTCTTCCTGAAGACGAGTCACCCATCATGGGAGAGGTCACAGTCTTCAAGAAGAGTATCTAGATCGGTTGCATGCGTGTTTTATTGCTTGTTAGTTTCTACTTGATCTCGTGGGCTTGCTGCTTGATGGATTGTCAGATTTTTTGCTTTTTTTTGGTGGTTGGTGAGTTCATTGACTGCCCGACAACGGTGGCTCAGAACGGCCCCAACATTGTCTAAAGTGCATCTCACCACACTGTAAACGTTTTTCAAAACTGTAGTGCCAAATTTACGGACGCATCGGTTTGTGTGCATTCAAACGAAATTCAGTGGTATGTTTTCCGCATGCGCCATACGCACGTCCCGCCCACAATGGCTTTGATGAGGCACACAGCTATTGCTCTATCATCTACAAGGTCTCGATGAGAGAAAGCTAGCTCTTGCAGGAATATAGTTGATCGAGTTTACAAGCCATAGTTTTTATTGGCTTTAATTCTTAGTAGTAACAAATCAAGATGCCCATTAGACAAAGCAAAGACAACGTGTAAATAATCCGGCCCGAAACCTTATTAATTAAATGCATCTGTAAGTAAAACGGAAAGGAGATAAATAAGATGTCCGTTACTGGTGCTGCAGTATTTCTGCACCTTTTCTACAGAACTTGACAAATCCTAAATCGTTAAAGCACCCTGACATTTCACCTTACCCCTAGGGCCTATACAAATGCCACGAGTCCAACATTTTTACTTAAAACTGTGACCCTGAAGAGCAAAAAACATTGATTCATCGATCATTTAGTGGATCACTTCCCTTGATTGATCGCTTTTTGTGCAACCACAGATGGAGGAATGTCAGCTTTTTGATATATCGCCTTTATCTTCCAGAGAAACGGGCCACGAATTGCAAGAACAGTTGATAGGGAAATAAATTTCAAGCGCCCATGCACCAGTTAGGTTCTGACCATATCGTTATTCTGCGAGCCGTAAAACTGGGAATATATTTAACGGCGACAAATGGAGTTTGGATTAATCTGTTCAGCCCGTTTCCTGAAATCTACCTTGTTGAAGATACGTAATCACCGGGTTCCAGGAATGAGTACCAATACCTTACTGAACAAGATCGGGACTGTTGTTTTAAACAGAGCCGTTACAAAGCACGCCATGCATCGATCAGGACTTCACTTCCTATAGTCCGTCGTCCTGACCACACCTTTTGAGAAAAAAATTCTGTACCCTTTATGGCCCAATTAACGATGACAAGCAGAGTCGTGTGGCCGACACCTGCCGCCTACACCCGTGCGAAAATGATATTCCGGATCTGTGCACATTCAGATGAAAAATTAATGGGTCTTCAACGCCCATGGGCTGAAGGGCCATTGCGCACGCAGCCCACTTCGTCCCAAACACAGGTCCCAATACACTCAGCTGGTATTTTGTGAGTCAGCTAGCTCAACAGCCCCATCTGCTATTTCTTCGCAGAGTCAATGCACGTTAAATGATGCAAATTGATGTGGTATAGATTTGGAACTGTGTGCGAATAATTACAACTAATGCGCGGGAAATGTTCTCCAGTAGACCAAATCAAGCTCAGTCACAAAAGTGCACAATCATAGCCTGGGTATGCGGTTAACTTTAACCTAATTCTCAGTTAAACTACCAGAACGAAGTGAACGAACCGTCGAAAGGGATATTGCTATAAGGTAGTACATCAACCCCGTATTTGACGTCTCATATTTCATAAGGCTAGGCAATGTTAAATTGGGTGTTTCAATGCTTCTGTGTATGCTGGGAGTGACGTGTGATAGATGGTTGTCCACAGACCGGAGTACCTCGTATACCTAAGGGTTATCGGCCCCTATCTGGCTGCACCACGCTCGAGTAGCACCAACTATCATGTAGGAAGGCGGAAAAAGAGGGAAACTAATTCAGATGCGTGTCAGTCAGGGGTTCCCCTCGGAAGGGGTTCGTTATGGCAAGGAAACGAGGAAGGGAAATAAAATCACGGCAAACCAAAGGGGCCATCGTGCAGCTTGGAGTGAATTATTTACGGGTGTGAAGTCGGCACAGATTGGAAAATCCGCACTTGGGGAGCACGCGCAGCGTGCTCAGGCATTTGCTGTTAAGTCGTCCAGTTTGCCACCTATCGAATTGAAAAGGAGGCACAAAACAGACTCCAACAATAAATTCTTGCTGTAATGGCGGGCATGATCGAGAACAACTTTGGTGGACAGGGTGGGAAGAGGGACGAACAGGAAAGCCAAAAATATCACGCATGTTGTTATCATTATAAAACAAAAATCTACACGTCAGTTGGATCTCGTGTGAGTGTGAAGTGTAGTGTGTAGGAGGAACGCAGTCGTGTTTATGGTTGGGAAGCTGTGGAGCCTAGCTGAGGCGCTGCATGGCGTTGGTATTTTTCTGGACATCGTCGCAAAATGTCCCCGAATCATCGAGGTCGTTGTGAATAAGGGATCAAATAAAAAAATCAGCACTTAGAAAGTATTGAATACGGTAACTGGAAGGTCTACTGCAAACGTTTCGTTGTGTATTCATTATGTATCTTTATTACTGATTTGTGTCGCCCCTTGACCCGAGCTAGAGGCCACTTCCTATCGACTAATCCTTCCGCTTTGGATTATTAGTCTCTCCCTCGAGGCGTTCTGGAACGCCCTCACGAGACTATACGCTGGGATATGATGGCAAGTGAAATCTTTTTCGGTCTCTTCAGGATGTTCGCGAGGAGATGATGGATCCGGCGCAGAGTGAAGCTAATGTTGTGGGCCACGGGCCGGGGACCTCATTCCCGTGGCAAGTGGAACAACTCGCCAGGGACAGGGAGATAGGACGAGTCTCTGGTATGGTCGACGATAACTGAAGACATTTACTCAACGGGCGCATGCATAAAATAGGTTAATTGCGAGGCTATGACCAACAGTCCAAGTATTTCCTTCCCACCAAAGCCAACCATGTATTTCCGTTAACTCAAAGAGAGGTTAGATTTCATGTGTAATTCTTTATTTGCTAATTGATTATGTTCATTTCCCAATGGACGACACTAACTGTGTGTCGTACGTTATTTATGCCATTTAATCCGTCAAAAGGGCATAAATCCACAAACTAAAGCTTCCCTTCTGAAATTGCGGCCACAATGTAGGTTAGTTGGTTTGGGTTTTGATTTTGGGTTTTGGTTTTGTTTTATCTTCCTTTTTTGTTTGGTTTAAATCAGACTTACTGTGCCCCTTTGTCAAGGCCACACATGGGTGTTCCGTCTTTCTGGGATGCCTTCTCATTTTGGTAAATTTCAATTGTTTCCGTCACTGAAAATTCATCAGGGTTTTGGTTCTTCCCATCAATCAGCAGCTATTACCTGAGTACTTTGCCGGCCAAGGGAAGCCTTCCTTTGCCAATACTGTCTCGAACGTGGCACCATAACTGACCCTGTCCCCACGGGGGTGGGTTGTGTCACATACTCAGCTTTCATGCACGGGCAAAGGGCACAGGGAATGGGGGGCAGGAAGTGTGTAGCTAACGCTGTTCGCATTGAGGCCGGTGGGCCCGGCATTGCTAGAGGTACTGGTTTCCCCCATCTGCACCCACAAGAAGGGCGGATGCCTGCAAAACTAAGACCGGGTCTTGGCTATGACTTGGTAGTTCCGGTAATTGCAGTTAGGTTTTATGGGTGGTGATGGAAGTTTTATTGAAGCTCATGGATTCAAGAACTTATTTGTTATCTTCTCTCAAGATGTTGCACCAGGATCTGCCTCAGTGGAACTTCACAGGGATTAAGAATCGGCATTAATTTAAACGTGCAAAAATCATTTCTTGCCTTGTTGGCAGATGGATGCCGTACCATTCAGTAGAGATACCACTTTGTGATATGCAACTTTGTTCAAATTAGGCCTACCTCTCTTTTTTAATAAAAAGTTAATTGACGCAAAAAAGGTGGCTTTTGTCGCTTTTCTGTAGGAATTTGTCACATTGTCCTTCTGTAGAGATTCACGATTAATGTAATTTTTCCCTTGTGTAGAGGCAGCTCCGTGGCACGGCATGCAGGCAGCTAGGAGTCTCACACCTCCTTTCATGGACAGGAAAATACGTAGGTCCTCCAAGCTCCACTCTCTGGACAACACGGCCGTAGTGCACCGTCCACCGCCTCGTTCGTGGGCCGGCACTGGCTGTTCCCAGCCCCCACCCAACCCTACCGTAGTCGTTGGTATCGTCGGTGGGGCGGTCACCTTCTTCCTGGTGGTCGTGCTGACCATTGTGTACTGTTCCTACCGCAATCACCCACCTGCCGACACCAGGAAGAGGCTGGCGGAGATGTACGCCTACATGAGAGGGCTAGAAGAAGTGTGGGTGGGCGTGGCCAGCCCTGCGACCAACTTCAAAACTGAATGTGTGAAGCACCATGATTATGGAAAGATTGGTAAAGGACACGTGATTGCATAAACAGACTTTTAACAATGAACTTTAAAAGTGTCATGCCATCACAGATGGTACAACGGAGACCCGTAAATAAGGCCGAGGCACGTGGCGTTCTAGGGAAGGGACACAGCATGGCTATACCGTTTCCTCGTTCCAGTCCATAAATGAAGACAGCACACGTTTAATATGACGCGTGGCAAACTCCTGTGTCCAGTGTTGTTTAAGACTGAAGAGAGCTGAATTCAGAGAGAGTAGCGCTACCTTCAGACTTTAGAACCAAAATAGCCGTTCTTGATCCGTGCGGTACAGCATGCAGCTTTGTGTGCTAAATTGTCGCATGATCCACCATGCCGGTTCTAACAACTGAGACACCCATGTAGCATTAGGCCTACAAGGAGCTCTGGGACAGAATGATCTTCCATGTCATCTTTCGATATATTGTCCCGTGAAATTATGTTTTCAACAATATAATAATGATAAATTCTTTAAAGTTTTATTTGTAAGTTGGTTGGAGAGGTATGTAGTTGCTTCATGCAAGGGTAGTCTTTTTTCAAGTATGTGTGGTTCTGAAAAGAACCGGAGGACCATATACTCAAAGAGATGTCCTTGCGTAGTGCTACCACAAACCTCTCTAACCGACTTGAAATCTTCACCATGAAAAGCTTCCAAGCTCAGTTTTATTTTTGGCTGTGTATTGTGCCTTGTTCTTAAGCTGTGGGTCTCACTTGTAAAAATCGGAACCAAGACATGTGTAAAAAAGAAATTAAAATATACGAAAAAAAATTTTATCCGGCCTTTTTCTCGTATGATGTTATTAATGGGGATTATGTGATCGCAATATCAAATTAGATACAGAATCGGAAGCAATTTGACAAACGGTAAAGCGCACATCCGAACCCAACCGATATACTTTGATATAACATCCACACCGTGGCGTAACAGATGGGCTCGTGAGGCTAGTGACTGTTGCAGTTTTCAAGGGTCTAAGGCTGCATCCGAGTTTCTTGTCTAGAGCTAAGTCTAGGTATTCACTCCACTGGAAATGCGTGGAGATGCGTAAACAATAGACCTAGCCGTAGCTCTGGAAGCCCGTTTCGGACACGGCCTTAGTTTCAACCAACAACCCCACACCGACTGTAAACAAGCAAGTAATATGTGACTAACAGCCGCTTTATCAAGTGGAAACCCAGATGAAGGCAGAGGAGATCACGGGAAACGGCAGTCAGTGAAAATGCAACATAGCCCCCAGGGAGAGGAAGTGTCTATCCCTACCAGGTTGCTATGGGCCTCCACCCAGTTGCCCGCTAAATTAACCCCTTGGATCTTGACTTTCAGAAACTTAATTCTTGAGGCTACGCCCATTTACGTGGCTTGTTAACTAATTTCTGAAATCAGCTCAAACTCCTGACAGCTTCTGATTTGTTATCATTTAATTCGTCTTAGGTGGGGTTTAGAAAGAATTAACAGGTTAGCACTGCACAACGTATTGCACGCTTCGGTGCTGTGGCCTTGACTGTCTCGGCGTGGGTAACTTAAAAATCGTTAGTCAGCGTTTGATGCGCCAGCAAACCATAGGATTTGATTTGTAGATTGTTTGTAATGGAATGCCCCCCCCGTCTGTCAGCAGTGTGATAAGACACGATTAAACAAAAGGGATGATGTAACTTAACTACATGACTTGAGGTCGTTAGCTGTTCAGAGCGTTTTTTCCCCAGCCATTGGCAACGGCTTGCCACAGGAACGGAACCATTATCAGTCAGAACCATCTTCAGTTGGGCTCTCAAGTGCAAAGGTTGAAGGCATCTTGATGGTGTGTTCGCTTTGTATGAGCTAGAGTCGTATAACTATGTTTATGTAAAAGGAAAGGGACCTTTGCAGGGGCGGATCCAGAGGAGGTGGGTGGGGACGTATGAACCCCCCCCCCACTCAGATAAAACACGACATGACAATAATTCTTTTAGTACCAATGAAATAAAAGGTGACATCCGATAGTGGTTATTACTTGCACATTAGTAATAATGTATTTCATTATCCATGTGTCCGCCTGTCAATAACAATATGACATAGAAAAAAAAATTCCATCAGGCCTCCCCCTGGAGAAATCTCTGGTAGTTAGTAAAAATCGCGAACTCCTTGGGGATGCAGTCCACTAATTCAAGTAAGAATCTCTGGCTAGCTCATTAGCATTAAAAGTGCCCCGCCGTATCTTTTGAAAAAGGAAATTGTTTGGCCCCCAAAATGGCTAGATTTTGTAAACCGTTGCCAGGATAAACTCCCTGGGTCTTTGTGAGCTTTCATATGAGGGCAGAAGGGCTGAAAACTACAGTTGAAAAATGGTCCTAAGTGCACCAGAAAGTTGAAGGTTGCCACTTGAAATATGGCTGCAACCAGACTTCTGAAAACTCATCCGTTTTGGCGGTGGTTTTGTGGGAATAATGACAAATGTTATAATGTTGGTTAACCCACAAAAATTGAAAAGAAATTGAAAGAAAAGGCACCAGACAAAAATTTAACTTGTGTGTCAGAAATCTCAGGGATGCTTGTATGCATGTTATTGGGCCCTGAACAGAGCTGATATTTTACACAATGTTTCCCATGAGGTTTGAATTAGTGGACTGTACCACTAGCTAGGGAAAGCTCCACTCTGGACGAAGTCTAATTTTCATAAATGGCTTGGCTTTGCGCTAAAATTAACTAAACTGCATAGCGCCCTCATTCGAAGCCATTGCAAAAATATACATGTAATACGTTGGCGGAATTTTTGTCACGCTGGCGCTACTGTACTCCCTGGGCAGCGCTCTCTCAGAGAGGAAAAGTGATTGAAATGCAGCGCTGGATATGCAGGTAACTTGTAACATCTTACAGAAGTTGCACCCAGGGGTGTACATTTTCAGTTCGATTAAATGGCCTGCATGAGGCAGTCTTAATTCTCTAGCCTGGAGGACAAAACACCAGAAACTGAGCGACACTGGTCGCCGAGCAGCAACAGCGTGTAGGCCTAGTCGGCATGCTTGCCAAACCGCCAGTGCCGGGTCAATCGCCGCGATGGCCGGGCGTAGTAGCGGCCTTGTTTTACGGTGTGTTGTCTGGCTCCATGTCATTTGTTAACAAGGCCGTGTTGACCATGCTGGGATTCCATTTCCCGTGCTTCTTGATGCTGTGCCAGATGGTGAGTCTCCCTAGTCATGCTAGTTTCATTTTTTTGTTGGCTAATTTTCAAAGCCAAAGTACCGCGTACCGGTGGTAGGCCTAGGCCCTATCATTATAGTCACGTGTACAGGCATGACAGGTAGAGGGAATGTACATGTATGTCTGCCATGTGTGCCGTGCAAACCAGGTGAGGGGCAGATGGGGGGGTGGGGTTAGGCCCCTCAGTGTACCAAAGCAAATGATACACAGTTAACCCCACTAGTGCAGTGTGGCACGGACTCTCACTCCCGCTCAATCCTTAGTCACATATCCGTATACACAATTTGCGTGTTCTACAATATGCTTTGTGACTTGAATAATTAAAAAGAACTTTTGTCATTTCTTGGAGTAAGAAACAAGATTGATTCAGAAATGATTCAATTCATTTATTTCATGTGCTTACAGGTATAATGTGTGTGTACATATACATGGTGAGACCTCAAAATACTAGACATACTATAACTAATAGGTAGGTACAGTGTAGGTTTAAAACAAGAAATCAATCTCACCACTCATTCCTTGAAATCCTAGGCTTTAGCAACAAAATTAGGGTTGGACTTAATCTTGTATATTTTTGTGTACCTATAGTTCATTGTAACATTTCTTAACTCTTGTCTTTTTTTTCGCCAGCTCTTCACAGCAGCTCTGCTGAGATGTCTCGGTGCTCTTGGCCGTGTTTCTCTCCCACTTGCCACCCTTGCTAATCTTCGGCTGTGCTGGCTGCCGTCTTTCTTTGGACTGTTCCACTCGGTCCTGTCTCTGCAAGCCCTGGATGGCATGAACGTAGCCATGTACACCATCCTCAAACGTTGCGTGCCTCTAGTGACACTGCTGCTGGCACCGTGCTTGCCCACAAAGGGGGCCCCGAGTCTGTTTGTCGTTGTGTCCATCGCGGTGATGACCTTGGGTTGTGTATTCACAGGTTTGTTTCCCCAAATTGGTGCTTTGTTGCAAGTTTTCTGGAGAGTCACTTCATTGTGGTTGACTTTACTTCGAGATTTGTCATTTACAAACACACGCATCAAGAACTCTAGGCATTTTTGATTTCCATGTGCCTTTGATCCGCAAATTGGATGGACTGCCTTTCCAAGATGCTGGGAGGGGGTAACTAGAAAGTCTTTCCTCTCAGCAGTCTGTCTGTAGTTAGTTATAAATCACTATCCATGCATACCTAAGAGCCTGTAAGAGCCCGTTAAGTGACCAGTCTTAAAGTACCGGCTGGCTTTGTGTCACCTCTAGCAGAATGTGCCATATATGTGCCAATCTCCACACACTAGTGACAGGACTTGTGGCCAATCAAGATGCAGAATCTGTGGTTGAGGTGTTCTAATCATGAATATGTTTGGGGGTATCATTTAAAGGGACATTGTTGGGAGGGGGGTTGACATAGGAAATGTCAGCTTATCTTAGCTTTCGTTGATTAGATTTTAATTCTGAAGTTCAGCTTTTTTGTACACCTGCTCTGTACAAAATATGGAAACTTTCTTAAATGACAGCTTTTTGCTAGTTGTTTTTCAACTTGTTGTGTCTATGGCCACTTCCACACCTGTACTAATTAAAAAAGAGATCACTGAACTGTTGTCTTGTTTCCATGCTTTTTATGTGCAGGACTTGGGGACTTGACCTTTGACCTGGCTGCGTACACATTCGGCCTGCTGAGCGTTTTTTCCCAGGCCCTCTACCTGACTTTAGTGCAAAGCCTGAGCCTGCAGGAGAACACGCTGTCGGCTGCCGGTATCGCTTACCTCAACAGCCTGAACTGCTTGGTACCCCTTCTCCTCTACACAGCCTACACCTCGGAGTTCGCCCGAGTCTGGGATTTCCCTGACCTGCATTCCTCGCGCTTCCTCCTGGCGTTCCTCGTGGTGATCTCTATGGGATGCGCCCTGAACTACTCGGTGTTCCTCTGCACCACCCTGACCTCTGCCCTCACCCTGAGCGTGGTGGGAGTCATGAAGAGTGTTGTGGTGGTGATGGTGGGGCTTTTTGTTTTTGGCGGAGTGAAGCTGAGTGTACTAGGTGGGGTAGGCGTGGCCTTGAACACCCTGGGCAGTAGCTTGTACACCTATGCCAAGTATCGGGAGAAGACTGGTGTAGCCATTGAGGCAGATCACACTTCAACATCTCAGAACTTAGTTTCAGGTCAGGCTTAGGTTTCAAATGAGGGTCGTTTGATCTTCTCCTGAACAGAGCAACTGGTGCCTTCATATTAGGCCTTTGATCACATCTGAGAATTCGGTTCCACGTTCAGCATCTGTATACTGTTTACTGTTTTATTAACACGTTAGCACGTTATAAAGAACAACATTTGGGTAAAGGGTGAAGCGTGGATTTGCTTTTGTACCCTAACCTATTGACAAACATACATATTGTAACATATAGATTAGGCTTCGTGGTGGAAATGAAAATCATCAGATTATGGACCTGAAAACTGGCGTTGTGAACCTTGTACAGGCATCCACGTCTGTGACCTTGTTTCACATGCAGCTGAGGTTTGCCTTGGTGGAATGGATTCAGAAGGTCATCTGATTATGGATGCCAGGACTTTGCTGTATTGGTGGACCAGAACAGACATGTAGTAACACCCTCAGCAAGGGTCAGAGTCAAATTAAAATTGACGGGATTCGGGATGCAATGGAGGATGTAGGAAGCATCGTGTGATCAATATCAAAGTGGTTTTCAGCAGAATGTGCACAAACACAAGCCAGTGTTTTTGGATGAGAGATGTGCAATGACTTTCAACTACGTGTAAACTCAGGACACCGTGTGTTGCCAAACTTCATTTACTGTGTGGTCAAAATGTTTCTTCTGGCAGTTGCTACATACATGGAAACTCTACTCACACAGTGATCAAAAGACAAGAAGTGGATAGTATATTTAACTCACAGAAACGACAGTACATGTACATATAAATTCTCTTTCTTTTGGGGGCATCAAAACTTTTAAACAAGTACTGTATGCAATATTTTAAGTTACCTTGTCTGTACAAAAGCTTTGCATGTGTTCAGAAATGTCTAATGATATTTGATTTTTATCTGGAATGTATGGTGTACACGTACATGTAGGCGCGTGCTTTGCAATAACTGTATATCTATGGATGTAGATAATGTGTATCTTTTTATCAATCAACCATGTCTGTTCATAAACATTATAAGATTGCAGTGGGTGCTTTCATAATGCAGTATCTGACATATGTTGGTACTTACAATAAGCACTGCACATGTATATGTAGTACCTGTGTATTGTGTAAGATTGACCTTGCCTCTAGTGTTGAGCTGAGTGTGGTAATTGTGAGCCCAGTCCCAAGAGAATTCAAGCTTTGATTGGAGATTTATCCCCCCCATCAACACACTTATCAAAGCAGTGATCAAGCTTTGCACAGTATTAAATTGACTAAGCATCAGGGATGTTAATTAATGCATTAATCACTTGATATGTAAACACACATGATTTTCCTTATTTGTTCCACGGATGTGTACGCTCGTTCAAGAAATCTTTTTTCATTTCTGCAGTTAACATACTAACGCATCGTGCTTGGTTAAAGGCAGTTGCAAGGTTGAAGAATTTACGGGTACGAAAACCTGCCCCCAGCAAGTTTTTTGGGGTCAGAAAATCTGACATTAAATAGCTACCTGTATTTTGGGCCTTGCATCTTACACCAAAACAACACCTCAATTCTCAGCCTTGTCCAGACGTTGCTAATACACGTACATGTAAATTACAACCTGGCTGGTTGGCATGGAATCACTTCCCCCCCCCCATTGGTTGCTCCATGCCCTTTTTTTCTGCAATAAAAAATTATAAGTGTTGTAAAGACACTCATCAGTGCAAGCTGCAGTTGCAACTCAATTGGATGTTACAGAAAACAGTGCCTCCCAGTTCTTTTGGGTTAAGGTTTATTTTAAAAAATCCCACTGTGATGGTTGTATACCGGTGAGAATTCTTACAATTTTGAGTTAATGCACATTTACATACGTGTATGTACAAGTACATATAAGTACATGTGGTGACCCATGAATGGATTGGAAGCCATTACATGTATCCTGTTGCACTGTGCAGACATGTACAACATGTCATAGTAATAGTTTTGTATTAATGAAAGTCGACTGTGTCCCGTTTTTATTTACTTTCAAAACATTCCTGGGATAAAATAAATGAATTACCAAAGTACAATCAGTCAACCCTTTTGGAATTTATTTCAAAACACTTGTTAAATTAAAAGCAGATTGAAAATTTTAGTACAGTACAAATTAAAAGTTAATGGATTCTACCACAAAAAAAGCCAAGGTAAAGTCTGCTATATGAGAATGCTGCCTAAGTAATGCACCCTCACAGAATTTACACTTAATTGTTAACAAAATCTTTAATCAAAGACAAAACTTTGCTCAAAAATAGAATTTATAACTTTAGCAGATGTACAGTCAATCATTTACACGTACACAGATCAGACAATGACCCCTTTTCAACGGCTATTTACATTAGTGGAAAAAAATGTTTAAATGAGATGTGTATTATTGAAAATGTTATGCCTTTCTGATTTTGAATACACGCTAAAATAAAACCAAAAGCTAAATACATGATAACGTTTGCCAGAAAATCTTCAAACATAACTCAGACAGTGTACAGTATATGTATACATGTAGAAAATGTGCTTAGCAGAGATGAACAGCTGAATACAAACCAATGCATTCCCGCATTGGTCCCACGGCCATATTAAGCAGATGAACAAATCTTAGACATGTTCTAAGTTCATGCAAGTTTCAAATGCCCTTGACACTACTACAGCTATAAAATTTTGAACTGAACACACTTGGGAAAACTATTTCACTACTAAAAATAAAGTGTAAGACAAATTGCACAATACAGCTCGATGCATGTTCATCGGCCTGTTACCCACAGCTGTAGTGGAATTTTGTTCAAAGTCACTTCCACAACCAAAATTAGCATCAGCTTTGTTACAGGATTTGTGCCTTATGAGCTTACATGTAACACTGCAAACAACTGCTTAACTCAAAATAAACTTCACAAATACACCTAAAGAACTAAAAACAGTCCATGATGCAAGGCATGCAGGCGTACTTGCAAACCTGAAATTTGTCAAAGGGCTTTTCCAATAAGTCTGTCGTGCCTATTGTGAATTTTTGCCACAAATGATCAGAATATTAAACTTTACACAATGTGCTTAGAAATCCCTCAACCCTTATGGATCAAGAATTTTGTTTGTATCAAAATGCAATCTAATAAATAAAGTTTACACGGTTTACAGAGCAGCATATCAGACACATTGCAGCAGAATAATAATGCTCACGTTCTGTTGCATTGTTCTACAAATGTATGAAGCTCAACTTCAATCTCTTTTTGTTTGTCTGTCTCTTGGCATTACTTTGAACTACTTGTACAAGTTAGTCAAGCACAAGGTAAACTGATTCAGTGTATAGTTTGTGAGACGCCAATGTAAATACATGTACACAACACCAGTGATTTAGCAGTACACACATTGTTTACACATGTACAGAAAAGTATAAAAAAGAGCATTACAAAAATTGCAACTGCTGGTTTGGGCAAGACTGGATCTACCATTCCAACTCGGTTTCTTTTCGAATCAGATTCACATCCAGTGTCAATCTGTGTACGTTGCAAGACTGAGCCAATGTGACTAATGAACTTAATAGTAATCTACAATATCGAAACAAGTCTTATCTACAGTTCAGTTTATCTCCATAGTCCAACCCTCGGGTTTAGGTTTGGACAAGAGGTTACTTATTCCTGTACAGGTAGCTTGCTTTGCCTTCAGATTCTGGCTTCAAGATACGAGCACAAGCACGCAATGAAACAGAACAAGAAACAATTTTGTGCAGTTTACACTTGTGGCATATTTTGGAATGAAAGCCCCAGGTAATAACGTACATGTACGGTGTACCAGTGTCTCTGAACATTGACACCTCTGATTACATTTTGTCCAGTCCCTGTGATGTATGCAAATACAAATATGATCCCCCTGCAACCTGCCCTCCACCCTGGATGCCAACTTTCTTCCTGTATCCGGATGCGATGCAGCGACTGCGAGGAAAAGTTTCAACGTATATTAAGTGTTTTCGCGATTGCCGTGATTTATTACATCCACTTTCCCTTTTAAGCAATCCCCTCTTCTCGAAATTTGATGAGAATTATGAAAAATCTGACATTGCACACTGGTTGAATGAGACTTGGACCGTTCATCTCTGAATAATTGTGCTCCTTGGTACAACACGCTTTGAAGAATTGATTGTTTTAAACCCAGACACCACATACTACAACAAACACTGATTGAAAGCACTGTTAGCCACCATACTATTCCTCACTTACATGTATACATGTAGTCAAATTTTTGGATATGCAAAGTATCCAGAGGAGTGAGAGCAGGTAACAGGGGAGTGTACTGCACACACCGTGGGGACAAGGTTGATGTCTGTTTAAAATAATTCAGCATTCATAAATTGATACACGCATAGCTTTTGCCATAACCTCATTTACTCTCAGCGTAAATGGCAAATCTGCCTTCAAAACAAATGGACAAGACTTTCAGCTTTCATTTAAAGTTATCTATTATAAAATGACGAAGCTGCTAATGGACATTTATGAACCAAAGAAAAAAACTGTCATGAAATGAATTTCAGCTAATTGCCAAACTGCAACAAAAATAACCAAGACTGTCTTCAATTGGCAGAACTGTCACTAGTGTCACCTAACACGAGGTGTCTCATTTCTGACATGACGTTGACACTAATGCTCAATAATGGCAAAATGTCAAACGTGCTGAGTCTGTCCTCCCTAGCAAGGAGAACCACACAAATGTCGTTAAGTGATACGTTGGTCGACTCTCAGGAGACAACAGAGTCTGCTGATTGGTGACAGTCCATTTAGTACTTGTAGTCCTTGGTGGCTTGTTGATTGAGGGATGGCATAGCCTCGCTCAGGTTCTGGTCCAGTTTCTGGTAGCCATCCTTGGTCCTCTTCCGACGTCCGTTGCCGTTCCTGCCCTCGATAATAATGGCAATGATCTGTGGGCCGAGAAGAAAAAAAATGTCTGCATGTTAAGTGTCTACCTGTGTCATTAGGCCTAATAACACCATCCGGAATCGCAGCAGGGAATGTGTCACATGTAGTTGGGTAAAGGAAAGGATAAAGGACGGCGCTGGCTTTTCAAGGGGGGGGAGTTGTCTGAGGAGGGAGGGATCTTACCCGTTGTTTGTTGTGATACAGAATGTAGGTTGCCATGATCAGAATGATGGCAGACAGAGAGTAGGCCATAAAGTGACTACTTGAGGTTTCTTCATCGAGTGAAAGATGATTACTGGGCTGCTCCGCTTTCACGGTGTCTTTATCGTCTCCCTTCAATCCTCCTCGTTCCTGCTGTTCCTGCGGAAAAAAGGTTGTCAATGAAAATACTTAAATTTCCAAAATAGCAATGTTTAACGGGAATGTGAAGTTGAACTGCTGGTGCAGTGATGAGCCATTGAATCACTTCAAGTCAGGATTTTCCTGACAATGAACCTGTTTAATGTAAAGGCTTTGAACTGGTAACAAAAACTCTGTTCAGTTTTCACTACTTTTTGTCTGTATAGTACCAACCAAGCTGACACAATTTTCTTTATACAAACTTTTGATTTGAAGTTCATTGCTCCTTGAAAAAAAACAACAGAATCATCAAATAAAAACCTGTCAGATTGCCGACAATCCCACACCCCAGCTCTTTCATCCAATACAGATCTTACCAACCTTCTTCTGTTCTCCACTTTGAACTGGCTCTAAGTTTTCAAAGTTTTCACCGTCCTTGTTATACAGATTATCGTCCAGATCCCCGATCTGGTTGTGGTATAATTCATTAGAGGTCTCTGACCCATAATAGTCCGTGCCATCTACTTTAGGTTCGTTTGGCGGCAGACTCTGTTCAGCACCATCGGTCTCTGGCTGGTTTATTTCCTCTTGGTCTCTGTCATACTCCTTATCATCTTGCTGTAGTGCTCCTTGTCCGTTAGTCTGACTACCTTCCTGTGAAATTCCTTGTCCAAAGTTCTTTCCATCTGATGGAATGTTTCCCTGTAAATGGCTCTCCTCGCCTGGAAGAGCCTTTCTTTCTCCATAGTTCTCTCCACCCTCAGATGCATATCCTTGTGGGTTCTTGTAGTTCTCTCCTGCTTGTGAACGGCTTCCTTGCCCATTTAGGTAGCTCCCTCCACCTGACAGATCATTTCCTTGTGGGTTCTTGTAGTTCTCTCCTACTTGTGAATGGCTTCCTTGCCGATTCACGTAGTTCTCTCCACCTGGTGCATCATATCCTTGTGGGTACTTGTAGTTCTGTCCTGCTTGAGGAGGGCTTTCTTGCCAATTCATGTAGTTCCCTCCCCCCTCAGGTGCATTTCCTCGTGGGGTTTGTGGGTTGTTGTAGTTCCCTCCTGCTTGAAGAGGGCTCCCTTGCCCATTTAGGTAGCTCCCTCCACCCCCAGGTGTGTTTCCTTGTGGGTTTTGTGGGTTCCTGTAGTTCACTCCTGCTTGAGGAGGGCTCCCTTGCCCATTTAGGTAGCTCCCTCCACCCGACAGATCATTTCCTTGTGGGTTCTTGTAGTTTTCTCCTACTTGCGAACGGCTTCCTTGCCGATTCACGTAGTTCTGTCCACCTGGTGCATCATATCCTTGTGGGTACTTGTAGTTCTGTCCTGCTTGAGGAGGGCTTCCTTGCCAATTCATGTAGTTCCCTCCCCCCTTAGGTGCATTTCCTTGT